GCAGAGTTGTGCTCGTGTGCAACTTCCCAGTCCTCTCAGTCACTTCAACAGGGCTAGTTGGGAGATATCCCTGATGCTTTGTGTCTAGGTGTTTCCCTGGAGGTTCCTGTGAACTCTGTTCTTCTTGCCTCTAGGATTATGATGGATAGAATGCTCTGTGGGGATTGCCAAACCTAAAGCAACAGCTCTCGAGACATGACCAAAAAGGAAAAAAAATGCAGAGAGCCAGGAGCATGCAGGTGATTTGATGTGCAGGGATCGAAAATGGTCTAAAAAGCATAACTGATGATTCATTCTTATTTCCCTCCCCTGCTTCCCTCCCTAGAATAAAGGATGGGATCATGCCTTCACCTTCTTTGACTCCTTTATTGGGGATGAGGTCATCAAACTGCACATTTGCACAGAAACTGGCAGTTTTGGAGAAGAGATTCAGACAAAATGAGTCTGGCATACAGCAGAGCTTGGCTGGAACTAATGAAGGCATAATTAAGGTGTACAAGTGCCCCCCTAGAAACATAATGGGAAGCAGAAATCAGTTGGAATGTTAATGCTGTGAGTCTCCACATGCACTCAAATTGTGTGTGTGCACATGCAAGTCATCACTAACTTACTATGCGCCATCAAGTTATCTCCGAGTTATACCATCTCTATGACTGAATGCCCTCCAAGATGCCCTGTCCTTGACAGCCCTGCTCAACTCTTGTAAACAACACACACACACACACACAATTCAGAAATGATAAAATCTTTTGGCCCTCAAAACCACATGTAGCAAACAGACAAACACATATGGTTGTTATAGTCGTGGCCCTCTGTGTAGTCAGATGAGAGTGTATAGAATAATTTAGATTCAAAGTGCAACATATAAATGGAAATCCTTAAAAGGAAAAGCTAGAGATTTCATTGTGGAAAGATTGTACACAAGAAATCCTGCTCTTACATGAGTAAGGCCCACCTGGGTTGTCCTCCTCTGCCTTTCTATATGCTCCTTTATGTTTCATGACACAACCACCAAACAGTGCTGTAGTACAGGGCAGAACTGCGAATATACACAGGCTTCTGATAGAGAATCATCTGCACTTTCCTTGGTCCAGAAAGCTGTGAAAATGGCTGGAAAATGCAGGAGAGGCTCTGAAAAATGACAATGTCATGTAAAGAACCTGCAAACTGCCATAAGTGAAGATTATGAACAGACAATAAATACCTTGTTGAGAGAAGCGCTTAGCCTGGGAGGGGGGCAAACTAAGGCTGAGGAACAGCATGCAGCTCTGAATTTATTTTGCAGCTTGCTGCTGCGGGTGCCCATGGATGCCTACTTGTCACCCGCAGCCCCCACTGTGTCGCCCACAGGGACCTGATTGCCACTCCCCACCCACTGCTGCCACCCAGGGGTGTCTGTAGGCATTTACTGTATGAGCGAGTCTGGCCATCCCTACCTTTGCCTATTCCATCAAAAAGTCTTGCAGCAACTTAAAGACATAGAAACATAGATACAGAGTGAATCAGAAGGGGCCTCCCGGGCCATCTAGTCTGATCCCTGGCTCCAGTCGGCTCCACTCACGACATGCCCACCATGTGCATGTCCAGTCTATCCTTGACCACCCTCACCAATGGGGCCTCAACCACTTCCCGTGGAAGCCCACTCCATACCCAAGACAAACGCATTTATTCTGTCAAAGGCTTTTGTGGGAAAACCTATGTGAATTTAAGGTTGTTACTTGTTCAAGGGACAACCCCATAAAAGTTTAGCTAGAAAAAAAGGCTTACAGCTCTCATCATGCCTACAACTTTGGATAACAACTTCCCTTATCCCAGACTAGGGCTGAGTTGCATACAAAGCGAACACTTCAGTTTAATCATGGCTTTGCTGCTTGGTTAGGAAAAAAATATGTGCAGCACAGGGCTCTGAATTAGTCAACACATTTTAAAAGTTAAAATGCTGAATTACAAAGCATCATATGGCTAACATACTAAAGGAAGACTTGATTAAAAGCAGTAACTGGTGTTCTAAATCCTCACTCTGCCCCATGAGAAATTGAGCAATATGTGTGTGTTTCTCAGTCATTGGACAAGTGTGCAGTTTAGAATATTTTACAAAGGACAACAGATTACACATACCATTAAGTGCTTGAAGAACATCTTACGCTTTTTGAACCAGGGATTCAGCTGTATTTATCTTACTCTTCTCTTTGAATTTGTCAGGGCCTTGAAGATTCCAATCTGTAGCACAGATATATTCAAAACTCATTAAAATAAAAATGTGTGTCAATTAATTCAGTACTCTGCTGAGGGAGTGCAATATATGGGATTACTGGGTAATATTACAACTTTCCAGGAAATGGATCTTTTAAGATGAAAGCTTATATACACTTTTGTGGGTGTAAGACTAAATGACTTCCATGGCCATATCTGCATGGCACACTAATTCACACTGCAATCTGGCTTGTTCATGGAACAACTCATGCTGTTTCCAACAGATGATCAGACCTACAATAGCTTGTTTTTCCACTCCTTCCTCATTGATCTCCAATTGGTACCCAAGTGTCTTTCTCAGCAGAGCCCATATTGTCTTTCCTCCCACACTCACTTTTAAAAAAAATCTGTTTAAAAATTGATTTTACATTTTGTAAACTTTTAAAATGATGCTTTAATGTGATGCACTTTATATTGTATTTTGAATGTGCTCTTGTAAACTGCCCAGAGAGCTTCAGCTATTGGGTGGTACTGAAAACAAGCAAACAAAATATTTAGATATTAGGCCAAGTTTGCTGATATTAACTTATTTAAGATCGTTAAAACAAGAAAGGATTGCTTGGAAGTTCAAAAAGATCTCTGTGACTAGGAGAATGGGCATCAAAATAGGGTATGCAGTTAAACGTAAGCAAATGTAATGTTTGTGGGAAGCAAAAAAAGTCCAGCTTTAAGTATATGCTGATGGGAACTGAGCTAATGGTGCCTGACCAAGAAAGTGATCTTGGGGTTGTCGTGGACAGCATAAAGAACATGTCAACCCAGCAAGCAGCTGCTGTGAAAAATTCAGTGCTGGGCATAATTAGGAAATAAAGTGAAAATGAAACTACCAATATCATGCTCCCCTTGTACAAATATGTGGTGCAACTACATTTGGAATACTGGGTACGGTTGTAAGCATGACACGTAAAAAGCAGGTCATTGCTGAGTTGAGAATAGTGCAGAAAAAGGCAACTAAAATAATTAACAGTCCTTTGTCCTACCAAATTCGACAGGATGGTCTCTCAGCACTAGAGTGATAATTTGCTGGGGGGGGGGGGGGGGGGGAAGCACAGGGCAACAGGAAGGTCCCCTCATGGATGTTGGTCTGTCAGTGGACAGACAGACACAACTGGCACCCTGTGACATCAAGACAAATAGGCAGCAAAATCATCCAATTGCAGCTATTTTAATGCTTGAAGACTGAAAATGGATCTTATGTCTAGTGCTTATTCTGGATTCATAAATCTCAATGTCATGATTCTTTACTCATAATTCTAAATAGGATGGTGTAACTTAGTGTCCTGCAGTAGCAGGGAGTTGGACCCACTGGCCTTCTGGGCCCTTCCAACTCTACTATTCTGTTTCTACTCCAGAATTAAGGTTCAGGGTAGACTTTTATGTTTATATAGGATTGTGGCCATTTTATCCAAAATAGCAATGTTAGTTTTCAAACCAGAACACCCTGAATCCTTTATCAGAGCAATTTTATGTAAGTCCTGAGTATGAGTTGAACAGGATTTCTCAGAATGGGCAACTACCTGTCATGCTGGGTCTCAGCAAAGCCCAGAAGACCCTCTGATGATCTTCTTGAATGCATCTGGAATCAGGTTAGTTGACTTGGTAGATTTTCAGCCTGACCAGCAAGGTACTACTTGGAGTGCAGCCAAATAAAATGTAGCTGCTGCTGGAACATTTTGAGGCACACATTTTTGTTCAAGTCCTTTGATGCCACCTGTGGTGCCTGGCGGAGCCATGCTGCTGTGCTTCTTTGGCAGAGGCAGTGCAAGAGGGGCGACCACTAGGGCTGGAGCCTTGAATCTTTCATGCACACCCTCAGTCTCTGGGAGGCCATCTGCCCCACCACCATGCTGTACATGGGCAGTTGCTGAAATAAAGGCAGCTAGGCCCTGATTATCTCTGTTGCATGGGAGTCCCCTGCACTGGCGGGCCTGTTGCGCTTCACCTCCTGCTAGTCCCTGGCCATTTGATTCTTTCTGTCTGAGGTTTGTTTCTGAAATCAGCAGCTCTCTTCTCCCATGTTCATATATCCTTTTTTAGAAGGCAAGGTCCTTTAAAGCACAAGCGCACACAGGGAATTTTGCACGTGCAAATGCGTGTGTGCGCGCGCAAACGTGCCTCGTGGGGGTGCGCCTTGCCCCGTGCCCCGTTCTCCGGATCAGGTCACCAATTCGGAACGTAACAGGGGACTGGCCAAATGCACGAGGGAGAAGGCCGTCAGTGGCTACAAGCTCTGATGCCTCAATGCCACCGCCAGTAGCAGAGGCTGCGTGCCTACGTGTTGCACTCCTCTCTGGTTGCTGGCTGGCCACGGGGTGAACGGAACGCTGAACTAGACGGCATCTCGGCATGCGCCTCATAGAACTCGCAGCAGTCCTTGCGTGCTCTGCCGCATACCCACATGCGCGCCCCCCTCACGGGTTCCCTCGCCCTCTGCCACGCGCTCAGACGCACAGGTGAGCTTACAGGGCATGTGTGCCGCTCGCGGCTCCTCTCGCCAAGGCAGGCGTGCGTGCGAGCAGGCAGGACTCCCGGGGCGGGCAGGGGGCTGTCTCATGCCGCTCGCTCCTCCCCACCCCGCCTTTGGCGCCAAGAGCCGCGGCGGGCGCCTGCCTTGCGAAGGACGGGGCGCGGGAGCGAGGCGCGGCGGCGCGGCGTTCCTCGGCAGCAGCAAGTTGCGCCTCGCCGGGGCTGAGCAGCGCCGACATGTGAGCGGAGTTGGCTGCGCGGGCGGGCAGCAACTCCGAGCGATGTACTCCGGGAACTGCAGCAAGAGCAGCGGCCTGGAGCCGACGCCGGGGGAGCATCAGGACTTGGAGCAGCGGCAGGGGACGGCGGACACGGGGCCGCCCTTCAGCGCCAGCACCTACGAGCTGCTCGCCCTGCTGATCGCCACCATCGGCATCCTGGGCTTGTGCAACAACCTGCTGGTGTTGGTGCTCTATGCCAAGTTCAAGCGGCTCCGCACGCCCACGAACCTCTTCCTGGTCAACATCAGCCTCAGCGACCTGCTCGTGTCGCTCTTCGGCGTCAGCTTCACGTTCCTCTCCTGCCTCCGGAACCGCTGGGTCTGGGACGCGGCCGGCTGCGTGTGGGACGGCTTCAGCAACAGCCTCTTCGGTAAGGCGACAGGCTGGGGGTGTGAGACGTCCCAAGTGTAGAGCAGTGGGCTGAAGCTTTGAGGCGAGCGGCTCTGTTAACAGGAACGATCTCCTGAGTGTGCGCAGAGTGCCCTTTCTCTCATCATCGGCTAATCACATATGGAGCGCAAGTACCCATCAGTGCTTTAAGTCAGAGCATGTATTTGGTTTGCTCGTTCATTTGTTTGTTTATTTCACTTGGGACTCAGATCAACACTTTTTTTTTTTAATATATCAGAGGAGAAAGGTAGGTGCCATCTTGGCAGCCCATCATTTCTTCCATGTGCCCCGCCTGGTTTAGCAGGCTGCTTTCGCTCCTCAGTTTGACCTCTTCTGGCTTCTGATCCCTCCTGGGAACGGACTTACTGTCTTTCCTCCCGCTCTAGGATTATCACCACCTGGCCCAGAACGTGCTTTGAGACAGAGCCCAGTCCATGAAACTTTTCTGTAGGGTTGCATGAAGGATACCTCTGAACATGGGCAGAGGACACTTCTCTCACTTTTGAGTAACTTGCAGTGTGTTGAAGACTGCTGTTTCCCTGACATCTGTATTAGGACCAATAATTTTCAACCTGTTCCTAAATGATCTGGAATTAGCAGTGAGCAATGAAGTGGCAAAATTTGCTGATAACGCCACACTCTTTAGGGTGATTAAAACCAAAGGGGCTTGTGAGGAGTTCTAAAGGGATCTCTCTAAAAGGAGAAAATGGGCATCAAAATGGCAAATGTGGTTCAGTGTAAGCAAGTGTAAAGTAATGTACACTGGGAAAAAGCATCCCAAACATAAGTATAAGCTGATGGAATCTGAACTGACAGTGACTGACCAGGAAAAGGATTTTAGGATTGTGGTTGACAGCTCAAAGAACATGTCAACCCAGCATGCAGTTGCTGTGCAAAACTCCATGCTGGACATAGTTAGGAAAAGTTTTGAAAAATATGCCCCTTATGCACATTTCCAGTTGCTGTATCTAAAAAAAGATTTTGTAGAGCTGGGATAAAAGCAGAAAAGGGCAACAAACATGATTGGACTGGAACAACTTCCGTATGAGGAAAAGCCACAACAGATGAGATTGTTTAGCTTAGAAAAAAGGATGAGTAAGGGGATAAGAGGTATACTCGGACAGGGAGACAATTTTTCTGCCTCATAATACTGGAGCCCACGGGGAGTTATGCCATGAAGCTGATTGGTGGGAGATCCAAAGGGGAAGTTCTTCAGACAGCAACTGTGGACATCACTTCCCTGGGATGTCGTGATGGCCACCACTTTGGATGGTGTTAAAAGGGGTTTAGGCAAAATACACGGAGGAGAAGATGATCATTGGCTACTAGTGCTGATGGCTGCATGCTCTTGCCAGTAGCAGAGGTGGTATTCCTGGGCAGACCAGCTGCTGGGGAACAAGGATGGGAGTGCAGCTGTTGCGTGCATGTCCTGCTTGTAGGTCCCAGTGGACAGCCGTTTGATCTCTGGGTGAGCAGGATGCTGGATCAGATGGATTATTAGTGCAACCCAGCATGGCTCTTTTGCTAGTCACTGGTTCTTCCTGCCCGCTCTCCACATTTTATTGTCACTCGAGGGGCCTCACCTCTCCCTCGCCTTCATTCCTTTTTGCAAATACCTCCTGGCAGAATTATGTTTCCCCCACCCCACCATATCTTTACTTTGCTAGAAATATTTACCACACCAATCCTTGATCTCAGCCAGAAGGCAGAGAAGGAATAAATCCCGCTATAACTTCAGCTATTGAGTAGTATAGGCATAAGAACAACATATGTGTGATGCATAGTCTTATCTGCAGTATTCTGTCGAACCTGTAAGGTACCATCTACATTGGTGGTGCTCTATAAAACATTGCCACTGATTGCCATTGCTTATGCTGTGTCATCCACATTGACAGATTATGAGAAACCCCAAGATTTGCAAAAGTACAGAACAAAACAAAAGGAAATGGCAAATGGTCAGTAGCCGTGAAATTCTGACTGAGAGCAGGTGGGAGGAAGAGAAAGTCATTTGGGAAGGGGAATCGAAAGAATGTATGGCTGCCTGGCTGGAACACTGAACAGGCCACACACTGCAACATTTCTTGCAGTTTTTACTTAGTAATACTAGTAGCAATTTAATAATCCTTCCTATATCATTCTCCACTTTAATTCTAATTCTACTAGTTTCTGAACAACATCAGCTTTCATTTCATTATCACCTCTACATTTCCTCAAATCTATCTGATAACTTTCTTTCCATTCATATCTCTTGTTGCTTCACCTACTTGAATTTCTGCACCAGCCTGCAAGGCATTCACAACTTTAGTAAACAATGGCTCTGAGTCAGATCCTCCATCCCCAATTGATTTCCTTAAAAAACCACAGATTGTAATTGCTGTGATTCAGATATGGTATCCTAACAGAATGCCGTAATTTGTTCATGACCATTCCCTTTCCTCCAAAGTTGAAGTGATATTTTTGCTTAGAGACTTGTATTAGCAGATCACTTACCTGTCCAGTAGAACTTCCTACAAATATCTTTATGAATGAGACGATTCATTAATCAAGAAAAAGTTTGTGGAAATGTGCTTCCTATTCATACTTGTTGATAAAGACAAATAATCATAAATCTCTGGTAGTGCAGGCATCTCTAGTAGTGCAGTATACAGCAGGAGGACAACCAAAATGGCTGCTGCCATGGTCAAATTCCTCACTTTTACCTCTGAAGCACAAGGGAATTTTCACTGTTATCACTGATCATAGTAAGCCACTTACACTTTGCATAAACATCCTGTCTATAGCTTGTTGTGTGACTTGCAAACTCAGACATTCTGGATTGTTTGTAGCTTAAGCAACCAGAGTTATCCTACAATCTGTTAACAGGTTCAGACATCACGCTAACAACCTACAAGTTTATAGGTTTATTTATAGGTTATTTATGCAAAATTGAAACAGCTCCTGTGTGGCATGCAGTTAATCCATGATTTACCACTGTGACGTGTGAACTACGTCTCATTGACTCATCGGTGGATGCATGAAATGACCTCCCTGATCTTGTTTTCCTTCTGAGGTCACAACAGGAGATATGAAAATTAGGTCTGTGGCAATTTATTCACACATGTGAGATTTTGTTTGATGCTGCAGGCAATAGAACTGATGAATGTGTATGTGAGAACTACCCCAAGGGCTACAGTCCTAACTAAGTAGGCTCAATTGAACACTCTGTTGAAACCAATGTGATTTACATAGTTTATCCACCTCGCAGAATGCCAGAATGAGTGTCAGGCTCATGCACACTTCCCGACCACATACAAACCCTTCGATGAGATGAGATTCATCCCCCTCCCCCTTCCCTGTAGGTGTCTATGTAAGTATGGGGTATTTGCATGATGTGCCCATCCTAAAACAGGTTAGATAAATCTGAGACTGCTCATGTAGGCCTGCTTTTGACTACTGCTTATACATGAGCAGTGCGGGTTGCAGGTTGAGGAGGACCCTTGGGCAAAGCACCTTCAATGGGCCTTCCTCCCTCAGTGAGCCCGTTGGTCACACCACCATGTTCATCAGCTGCTATTGCTTCTTCTTCTCTTCCTCATCATTGCTTGTTTGGCAAGTGGAAAAGCTGCAGACTGGTTGCAGTGCTGAAGAGGAGACACAGCGCTTTTTTCTGTTACCAGTGGGCCCTGCATGTATGTGGGCCCTTGGGATGTGCCCAGCCAGGACTGCCCTGGGCACCGGCCCCCTTCATTCACTCACAGGGTCAACTGGGATACACAGCCTGTGTGTGAACTGTCAATCCAAACCGATGCATTATGTGAGTTGTACCGGAGTTCTGTTTTTGCTGTCTTAATTGAAAATATCTGCTTGTTAGAAATGCTGAACAGTATTACTAGGCAGAGAGTGGGTTTAATTCAGTAGGGAAGCCTTTTACAATGGAGTCCTGGAGCAAGGCTTGCAGGGGCACAGTGCCAGCACTTGATTTTTTAGTATGAACACTAATGTTGAACACCACTCCCACCCCCTTGGACTTTCCCAAGCTTAGCTGCAATGCTTACAGTATCTGGGGGAAATGAATTTTCCCGGCCGTTTGGTGTTGGAAAGTATTTGGGGTGACTTGGCCTTGAATGGGCAGTGAAAGTCCACCAGCTTTACAAGAGACCTGATCTGGGTTGACAGGAGAAGTGGCTTGTTGAAGTGGATCAACAGCAGCACCTGCATTTTTTAACTCTCCTCAGAGGCAGGCTATGGGAATTATTCTGATGAGCACTTGCACTTGTACATTTATCACTACAACCACTTCACTACTTGCTGCTAATTCCGGATCATTTATGAATAGGGTTATGAAAAATGTTCTACTGCTTCAGACTCCTACCAAAATACATAAGCTAAGGAACAGGCACCTGCTCTTCTGCTGTGAAGAATGATGAAAAAAGTTAATTCAGCTTTTCTGCAATCTCCTCCCCTCTCTTAATGCTCCTTTACTTCCATTATCCAGTGGTCCAACTTCTTCCATAGCTCCTTTGTTTCTTTTGATATATTTAAAGAATTATTTAATGAATGCCTTAAAAACAAAGCAGAACAGTAAATCAGTTATGGTAATTTATGGTGGCACAACAAAAGAGTTTCTACAATTATTATAATTTATATAAGCATGTTGTGACAGTGGCTCAAGTGTATTCATTTTATTTCATTCCTGTCGCATGACCAGATATACTGAAAACATGAATAAGATTTTCAGTTTAAATAAGGGTGACACTACTCTCTGTTTATTATATGCTTATAATCAATTTCCATGTAGCCTGATCCATAAATCAGCTAACCCAAAGATCTTGGGCTTAATTGGATTGACACTTTTGTGTATTTTGCACTGAGGTATACAGACCTGTGTATATAATATGCAGTATGAAGGGGTGTGACATCACATCAGTCTGTTCACTCCCCTGCATTCCCCAAACCCAGGAACTTGTGCAGTCTTAAACTTGGCATTGGAGTACTAGACCC